TGGAATTCATATGCGTACCATGCCATAGCGGTCCTGTGGCCTATTTTACAGTATGTTTACTTTAAAAATTTAATTTTTTTGGTTTTTTTTTTGGAATATTTTAATTTTCGATGATAATTCAGTTGGATTTTACAAAATATTGTGTAATTCAGTTGGATTTTACAAAATATTGTGCAGAAGGGATGTTTTTTAACGTTTTCTTGGTTTCTTTGGAATGTTTTAATTTTTGTTGATAAATTTGATAAATTCGGGGGATTTTTTAAAATAACTTGTAGGAAAAAGTTTTCTTCGAATTTTTATCCGGGAAATATGCATTATTATGTCCCTCGGGATTTCAACTTTTTTTTTCTACTGAATTCACAAACAACATGTAAGTCGGTAAAAATTTGACCCCATTTTCTCTCGCTTTCTTCAAAATGTAATAGCTGGAGAAACTTTAGGACGTTACTTTAACAACATGTTCATTTCCAACATGCTCCTTTTAACATGGCGAAATGGGGCACTGTACTGATGATTCCCACTCCATTCCGCACCGTTTCTGCTGTCTATGTTTACAGCTCAGGGATGAAATACAGATAGCCTACCAAGTCACTGTACGTGCAGGCTTGCTTATTTGGGAGATCTAAATGGCACTACTTCCCATGTGTTTTCATTAATTATCAAAATTCGATTGTGTTCCTCTCCACGGCAGTGAGCCAATAACGCCAAACAAACTGCATGTGTTAACACATAGACGATTTCAGACCCTCGTTCTCTTCCAATCTCCTTGCTAAGAATTTGTATTTTTTTAAAAATTCTACAGCACTTAACAACATCCATTGCCCCAAAATAAGACTTTTTGCCAGCGTCAAATTTTGAATCATTTGTATGTCTCATGTTAGCAGTGAACTAACAACTTATTGCAAGTAATTGGCAATCCTTGTAAAAATTACAAAATTTATATTACTTTATCTACCCATTCTAATAAAACAATTCAAATTTTAATCAAATTCATACTAATTACCACAGCTGCCGTACTGACGAGGTCCAGTTGTGGTAACGGTAAGAAATGTATACGAATTAATAGACCGAAGCATTTCTTACTATTTAAAAAAAATTTTTTTCGACATTTTATTAGTTCTTCTTTTAACATAGAGAATATTTTATTTATTATTTTATTTATCTTATATAACAATTTTGGTAGTCTTTGACACCTCTTGTGATTGCTTGAAAGTTTGGAATGTAGGGCAAGAAATGCGTAGAATAGAAGATAATTTTTAAGTTTCTGAGAAAATAAGGTATCTTCTTTTGAATCATTGCCCTGCCAAAAACATTAAAACCAATTTCAGCATAAGTTTTATAAGACCAGTAAGGATGGGCTTCCTTCCATGCTATAGATGAACATATGAGTAAGCAGCCTACGTCTCATCCCTTTGCTGTAAACATAAGCAGAATAATGGATACGAATGAGGGTGGAAATCATCAGTACAGCCTCTTACCTTAATTTAGCATAACTATACTGTTATGAATAGTTATACGATGGATCGTTGCTATTGGGGCAGTTGATCTTTACAGCAATCTTTTTAGGCTACTCAAATCACCAGCCGTCCAAAAATTGCGCTCAATTCGGATTTGCTTCTATTCGCCAGAGCAGCTGATGTGAAAGAAAATGGTGTTGTCGAAGTTCCAGGTGTGGCTCTGAGTGAATAATTGGTGCTTAACTTAAAACTCAACCATAGATTTATGATTTGCACTGCGTGTAGATTTAGTTAATCAGGATTTCTCGGAAATCCGAGAAAATCCGCATCAATTATGGCAATTCAGAGCGTATCCTGGGGTGGATATAGCTATGTACAGTAGGGTAGTTATCACCAGAAAATGAGCCAAACAAGTGCGTAAAATAGTTGATGAATCATACATATAGCACTTAGCTCTGGAAAAAGAAAACTGTGGAAGTTAGACTGAAGCAAAATTATTGGTGTAAATGTTAGTCAGCTAATTTTCGAACTGGTACAGTGCTTTGCTGTGACCGTTTGGATACATGTTGTAAGCATGCGCGGTAGCTGAATTTGAAATCTTTAGTTCATACATGCGCAGAGAATATCCCTGCAAAGTTTCAGCTCTCTATCTTATCTTGCTCTTGAGATCGCTTATTGAATTAGAGAAGTGTGTGTACATAGGATCTGTGGAGGTGTTTAGGTGTTTAGCAGCCGAATTATTCTTGTTTTTTTTTTTTGTGCGGTAAGGCAGTTAAAGTTTTTTCCCAATTATCCGAGAGTTGTAAAGATTGCCTGTTACTTAGTAAGTATAACTTTTCATTTTGCCGCTCTTACACGTATTTTGCTTGTTGAGTCGTCGTTTCTTCACCTCTTTACTTAATTCCATCAGTTTTACACGTAACTGCACGTTTTAAGCATCAGCATAATAA